CTTCCGATTGTCCCAGACAAATATGACGAAGTTTGGGAGTTGACCGTAATACCAGGCGGACAGGTGATAGTAGAACGCACATTATTTCAAGTTATGATTACGTCACACGTAGAACTCTGTTAATTGGTCGTAGGCTAGATATGGGTAGCACGTACAAATCCTTATACATGTGATTAGCTAAAGGAGATTTAGCCATAGGCTAGAATAAAACCAGAAATAAGGCAGCCGGTGACTCTTAGTTTTAAAGTGAGTGAGTATGGTTTTACGCCGCTTTCAGCAAGATTCCAGCAATATCACGACGAGGGACACCAGGAATGGGCTTCACACATTGTACCCATGTGAGGAATCGAACCGGGGCTTCGGCGTAACGAGCCAACGCTTTTACCACAAGGCTACCGCACCGCCTTTAGTTTTAAAGCTGCAACTGGGTAAATACCCAATTCTCTATTTCATATAATATTTTCAAAAATTATTAAATGGAAGTCAATGATCAACATGTCGAACACAAAAACGTTAAAATTTAAGTGAAATGCAATTACCACTAAAATACCACACAAGAGCCCTCACTGCTATTCAGGCAGTCACGTTTTGCAATGCATAACCGTTATAGGTCATCAATCCACGGCTTCGCATCACCTCACGTTCCGTTGCATCGCATCTTTTCATTCCTGCTTCAACGCAGCATGGTATAAACGCTCAGTCGCACGACTCTATTGTGTTCCGCCCATTTCTGGTGTCCCCGCCCTGATATTGCTGGAATATTGCCAAACGCGGCGTAAAACCATACTCACTCAATATTGTGTTCCTCACAAAAAGAAGTTGATATCCATAAATTTACCTTTATGTGTATCACGTCTAAATGCCGTTCAAGTCTTTCCATTATTCGTGTGAATATATATATACTGGACAAATTAAGTTAGGGATATTGTTTTTTATGATTGATATTTTATCAGTATGCCAATGAATAAATAGATCAGTATTCATAATTAAAAATTTACATATACATGTATGTATAACTATTTTTGTCCAGTATATATAGTTTACGCTACTCATCTTAAAGTTGAGGGCTGGTTGAAGACAATTACCTTCTCACTTGAAATGTAAAAAGAAATAAGGTTTGGAAATTTTCGTATTTTTCTACCATACGTCTGTAATTTTTTATGTCTACAACCCCTAATACATCAACTTCAGTCAACGATTTGATCACTTTCGAAAGACATTTAACAACCATTCTTTACAATCACTCTCTGTTAGTCATTCATATACATATGCTATTGATACAACCTGTACCTGTTATTCATGTCAATAGATAAAAAGGTGACCGTGTCAATCAATCACTATGTATGTTTTATTCATGGTCCTATTGTACATTTGGAAACATTTGATCATAAACTTGCTATCATTGCTCTCGGGCATACAGGGCAACAAAGACACTTTATCATGTGTTGTGTATTTGTGTGTTATTGTATTTCCCGTATGACCTTTCAGTGGTACTTCGTAACTGTATATAAAGAACATTAAAGAGCGACCACATCACAGATTCGACTCGGAGCTCTCAGATCATCTTGGTAAGTATTTTCAGTGTCTGTTACGCTGACTGAGAAAATGTTCCGTGTGTAACGTTACCGGACTACAGTGAGTAAGTGAGTTTATTTGTACGCCGCTTTTAGCAATATTCCAGCTATATCACGGCGGGGACATCAACAAATGGGCTTTACAACCGGACTACAGTGACATCCTGTATTACAGTATTGCAAAGCACTACACGTGGCGTTAGTCTCTCATACAGACCCTGAAGTAAATATATCAAAGAAAGCCCACGCAAGTCTAGAAAATGTGGCAAGTCTAGATTTCCACAGCTTGAAGAAAGTCTCAGGGCTCCTTTTCATTATATACCGAACCACAAAAGAAGCGTCGCCTTTCAAAACCAAATGCAAGTTTTTGTTCTTAGAAAGTGGTGTTTTCATTATGATTGTATCGTTTTGTTAACATGTTTTTCAATCAAATTAACAGTTATCCAACATCAGTGTGTTTTCTGATAAGAAAGCATATCGATCAATTGCACCTAAAAAGTCAGACGTGGAATAAAGGTTCCATATGACATTCGTGAAAAGAAAATGCACGTGCACAACTCTACCAATGAAAGTGAGTGCAAAACTCGCCTGAAATCATTTTGTTTTGACGCCATCGCCATGGCACGACTTACGAAAAATCAGAGGAACCAAGATTTGGGACGATTGCAAGTTGGCCAGACCGCACGGAGGGTAGCAAATCATTTTTATGTTCATGTTAGGACAATCTACCGACTGCAGGAGTGGTATCAGGTCACTAACAACATCAATGACCGTTCAGTAACATTACAACGTCAAGACCGACAGATTGTGCGCAACCATCTACAGGATCGCTTCCCCAGAGCGACGGAAACTGCATGCCAAACAATTGGGACTCACAACAGACCCATCAGTGCCGAAATAGTGCGTCGACGTTTGCGCGGAAAAAAAATTCTGCTGTCACGGACCATATCGTAGTCCTGTCCTCGCCGCTCATCACTTCCAAAACCGACTGCAATGGGCAGCTCAGCATCGAATTGGTGTTATCGACAATGGAGAAATGTGCCTTTTTCTCATGAAAGCCGATATTGTGTTTCGACAGTCGATGGCAGAGTGAGAGTATGGTGAAGGCGTGGGGAACTGTTTTCCAATGAGTGTATTGTTGAAATAGACTCGTAGGGTGGTCCAAGCATCATGGCCTGGGGTGCAATCGGTCTGAACCAGATAGTCGGCATCCTGGTGTTCCAGAATCTCGGTCCAGGATGAGGAAATGACGTGGCAGCTGCTCGCTATATTGACCAAGTCATAATACCCCACGTTATAACACATTTTGGACGTTACAGAAATCACATCTTCCAGCAAGCGCTCAGTCCAGATCTGAGTCCAATAGAACACCTTTGGGACGAGTTTCGAAGAAGACTGAACGACTTCCTACAAAGGCCGACAACAATCGAAGGCAGGACTCGATCAGTCATTTCACAGAGTATGGACTCAAGTGCCTATGGCCTTCCTCTTTCGGCTAATTCATTCCATGTACAGACGGTGTAATGCTTTCGTCGATGCCAATGGAGGGCCACACACAATACTGACTTTGGGGTATCCTCATGGTACCATTTATAGTGATTTTGTTTGTGTGAAATGTGATTCCCGAAAATGTGTTAACCATAATTACCACGTTTGAACTGAATCCTCCCTTTTGCTTTGTTAATTAGAGTAAATCAAAGTTTGTGCTTTACAAAACCGCTATCTCGGTGCGACATTTCTTTTGTGGTTCAGTATATTTTCTTTTTTTACTATGTATTTTCTCTTCTGTAAAATATGTTTCATTTCAGAGAATAGATGCTGAAGTTGTCTTCAAGTTGATACTCTTTGGGCGATTCTGTTCAAGCCTAAGCATGAGTAACGTTATTCCGAACGCTGTCAACATTATCATCGCGGCGATCAGTTATTATCGAATAATTTGTAATGCTTCTTAGTACCATTTAAACCCGAGTGGAAAGAGTTTCATTGAATGGCCCTGTGATAATTAAAGTTGCTTGCCTAATTCTTGGAGGAAAGGCAGCGTATATTTACAGCAACTTGTGATACAATCGTGTCATATTTCTTGCAGACATCGCCTCCACTATGTTGAAGAACGTGATTCTCCTCTTTGCCGTTGCTGTTACCTTCACATCAGCCGTGTTTTATCCATATGGACGCTTCAACTCTTTCGGGATTAGCCCGTTTGGCGCTGGGAGTTTCGGAGGAAGCCCTTATGGCGCTGGGATTTTCAGAGGAAGACCCTTTGGCTCTGGGATTTTCGGAGGAAGCCCCTTTGGCTCTGGGATTTTCGGAGGAAGCCCCTTTGGTGCGGGCCAGTTTGGAGGTGGTAGATTCGGAGGTGGACCATTTCGGGGTTTCGGCGACGGTTCGTTCAACGAATGGAGATCCGGCGGGGTCGGGGGATTTGAAAGAACTGATTACCCCGATTATCCCAATTATCCTGATTACCCCGACAATCGTATTAACTGAGGAGACCGTTGTATTATTTGTACTGCAGTTGCTCGTAGACTATATTTTGAAACACTTATTTGAAAATTTCACCAAATAAGTTGCAAATGTGAAATGTGAAAAGTAAAAATGTTCAAACTTATGTGAAGTCTTTATTGTTTTTATTATTGGCTTTTCTATAATAGGTATTTACTGGTGCATATTTACAACGGTATTTAAGTACAAAGTGAACCAACTTTCAGTATAACTGATTTTTTTCAGAAATCATGAACATACCAAGTACGATAAACAATCGTAATTATTGAGTGAGTGAGTATGGTTTTACGCCGCTTTTAGCAATAACCCAGCAATATCACGGCGGGGAAAACCAGAAAAATGTTCAAACTTATGTGAAGTCTATATTGTTTTTATTATTAGCTTTTCTATGATAGGTATTTACTTGTGCATATTTACAACGGTATAAGCAATAATCCAATAATTTAGCAATGATCCAGCAATATCACGGCGGGGGACACCAGAAATGGGCTTCATCGTAATTACTGAAGTAACTTAAGTGAACATTGAAGCTTTTTTAAAGTCAATTAATAATGATTGGGAACAGTTGTTTTATTTTTCCACCAGGCAGCTATTTAAGGTTGTGTGGGGTAGGATAAGCAGGTCAGGGTAGAGAAGCGTCAGTAGTATTGGCTGGGATAGGCCTAGGGTTAATAGGTTTGAATAAGGTACAATACGGTTGGATAGGGTTCGTAGAAGTGGGGTTGGTGTGTAGGGTAGGGTATTTTTGTGTGTACTGAAGATATGACAGCTTTATTAGAATTCAAGTCCTATTTAAAAATAGTTTAAAATATATCGTTTCGAAAACAAAAGAGAAACATTGCATCGTAAACTGTCGTGACACGAATGAGGAATAGAGATTTAGCTTTTACTCTCTTATCGAAAAAGACAGAAAACCGAAAACAAAATGTTGGAAAATATTTATTTCCAAATCTACATGTACTAGGTACATGCATGCCGTCACACCGTTATTGCGCTTGAGGTATCGGAGAACTTCAGTTGCCTGAATCCACATCAGCCGCTGTATTATGAGAGGCGGACGACCAAACCATAAACGGAAATATGACCCTTCCACCGGCAGTGGTTTCAGAGGCGTTTGTTTATGTACATTGGTAGAAAACAACCATGTCATGAGCTTAGTAGTCCGTAGTCACCAATATTGGAACAAACCAAAATCAATTCGGTTTAATTATGATTTCGGTTTTATTGATTACTCAGCCTCGAAGCAGCCTCTTCAAAGTGGATCCAGAAGCTGAAGAATAAACAATAGCGCGTCTTATGCCCTCTATGGACGACAGATTTACAATTAGTATTACTGTACATATTACATTTTTAACCAGTATCTCAACATAAGCGTGCGTAATCTTACATCACAATCTAATTCTACTTCCGTATTCCTTGCACTCAGTCTAACTAGGCAACGTATAGGGCGAGGTAATTCATTGGATGTTGCAGTAAGTGACGCCTTTAAGTGTAATCTTAAAATATATCACGACTATCTGATACCCATTGTTTGTTTATGTGACATACCCGCGGTAGGAGAACGTGTTCTCTGACCAATACTATCCAATCAGGATCAGTGAACAAGACGTGTGTCACCTTCTTCAAGCAATTATGAGAAAGAGTTCGAAATAGACGTAGGCCCGAGACCGACAGATGTATTCTCGGACTGAGGATTTTAGGTATCAGCAGGCAATTGCGGCCTGAGTAAACATGGTAAATAAATATACCACTAAGAATGCCTTGTAAAACAGGATCCAGATTCAAAGTAATACGGTCGTTAGACAGTCATACTGACCGGGGAACTTACAGAGGGGAGAAATGGAGAAGACTTACGAGACCAGTTTATGTAGACTCTCCGCAGTACAATAGGTATCGCATTACTTGCTGATGGCTCTATTACTACACTGCTATGGGGGCTCGTAAATGTCATTTCCGGAAGCCAAAATGCCTTGTCTGTTCGTCACCAGAGTTCGTGAGGTCATTTCGTGATGTGACGAATGGCATTAGTTACCAAACATAATTTAAATTGCATGAGCATGTCTATTCACCATAAAAGTTTAGGTCGACTAGGCCAAGAGGGTTTGTTTTAAATGCCCTGGGACGAGATTTCCGAAGCTCTCTTAGCGCTAAGATAGTCCTAAGTTAATGTTAATGTATGGCACTTACGACTGTCTTAGCACTAAGAGAGCTTAAAAAATCTAGATCCAGGCACTTTAGGCTCTCAGATCTATTTTCTGTTCAAAAGCGAATGAATATGGCGAATTCGTTTCAAGTACGAACAGTTATTTGCGTCTATTTCTAAATCCACTGAAATATCATTGATGGAATCATCAGGGTCCTGTTCCACAAAGCTATCGTGGCGCTACGACTGTCGTAAGTTTATATTACAGTGTAGGAGGTACGACAGTCGTAGCGCCAACGATAGCTTTGTGAAACTCTGCCCAGGGCTTAGATTTTCGAAGCCCTCTTAGCGCTAAGACAGTCGTAAATGCCATACATTAACATTAACTTACGATTATCTTAGCGCTAAGAGAGCTTCGAAAATCTAGGCCCAGATCTGGATGTTTAGAGGGATAAGTTAACCCACTAGGATGCCCCGCCACCTGATACGTGAGTCCTAATGTTGCAGTGTTGAGAAGAGGTAGCTAAAAGGACACACTGAAACACTTACAACAGTCTTCTTCATCATCCCCTTCAGGGCAGTCGTTTTCTGAATCACACACCCATGATGATGGTATACAACGGTTGCCTGTCTCTGTCGAGCACTGGAACGTCTTGGGCGAGCACGTCTTGGTTCCTTAACGAAAAGATTTCAAGATGCAATCACATTTCTGCAGAGCTTAAAGACCTCGTCATTTTTGCAGGGTTGGATAATGAAAGGTCGTCGGGGATGGAGTCTTGGCGGTTAGGGACTGAGTGGGTTATCAGTGGTAGAGACTTGGTGGTCGTCAAGGGACTATGTATGTGTCACAGTGGTGTAACCTTTGTGGTCGTTAAGAGTTAACTCTTGAGTTTTCAGTTCGTTTCTGAGTTGGAGACTGCAAGGTCGTCGTGCATGAAGTCTTGGCGGTCGGGGACTGAGTCTAGGTTGACAGTGGTGGAGCCTGGACAGGCATACGGGTTGTCCGTTGTTGAGGAAAGGCAGATATAAGGGGTAGGATTGTCAGTGTTGGAGCCAAGGCGGATATACAGATTAGGGTTGACAGTGATGGAGTCTAGGCGGGCCTTAGGAATAGGTGTGTTAATGGTGTCACCAAGGCAAAAGAGGCTGGTTGGTCGTCAAGGATAGAGGTCTGGGTTGACAATGGTGGAGCCTTGGTGGTCGTTTGGGGTAATCCCTGGGCTGCCAGTGGTATAGTGTGGGTGGTCGGTGGTGGAGCTTGTGTGGAGAGATTAGAGCCTTATTGGTCTTCAAGTTGGGGTGGCGTATATTGTCAGTTGTGGATCCCTGTGGTTGTCAAGGGGGTGGGGTGGATTGTCAGTTGTGGAGCCGTTGGTCGTGAAGTTTGAGGGCAGGGTTGTCGTATGGCACACTGATACAAATAGTATTTGTATAGCTTTGATATCATACATACTTTGTCCAGAAGCAAAGCAGAGTTTCGAACGTACCCAAGCCAACATATTTCCACTTTCATTACTACTATTGCTATTGCTACTACTACCTCTTCTACTGAAGTACGATGACAACGATGATTAAGATGTTGATTATAACGAATATCAATATAACTCCAAAAAAGAGTTTTGACATTACATCTTTATTTCCCGAACGGACATTCCAGTCTTCAATCCCATATATATCATTTAACATTAGTATTGTCAAGACCATACCGCAGTCTTCCTCGTCTCGGCCATCGCTGCAGTCTGTTTCTCCATCACACAGCCAACTGTTGGGCATGCACTGATCCATGTCAGGACACATGGTTTGGTTGGGCGGGCAAGTCTGTACTGTAATATACAACCAATATGTATATAGATCGCCTCTACCACTGGCCCGGAGAGCGGTGTAGTGGTAAGAGAGTCCGCCCGGAGAGCGGAAGGTCGCAGGTTCAATCCCCGTCCGCGTCATACCAAAAGACGTTAAAATATGAAACATGTTGTTCCCTGCCTGGCGCGCGGCATTAATGGGTACAACAAGGACTGGTCAGCTCGGAGTCAGTATAATGTGTCTGAGTGGGGTATTCATGCTAAACTGGGGCATGGTATCTCAGTGCGCTAGCACTATCAAACAAACTCAAATCTGGACTTGTACATCCAGCCATACATACACACGCTTGCACGTTGTCATATGAGCGAAATATTCTTAAGTACGATTTTAAAACCAGATCACTTCACCCCCACCCCTGACAATTCTGGCCTCTCTCTGTCTCTCTCTCTGTCTCTCTCTGTCTCTCTCTCTCATATCATATAGAGAGATTTATGTAAATATCAATATTTAGTTTAGGTTTAAATGTCTTTTTTATTATCATTTGAGGGAGAAATATTCTCCACACCTAAAGTTTAAAACAAAAGACACGTGTGTTTGGATTCGGATCTGAAGATTCATGGACCTTAATTGAGTGTTTATAATACGTTCAAGAACCTTTATCTGTACGATCCTCATTTCCACGAAAACTGTAGAGCTTTGGAACCCCATCACGCTGTATGTATTTATTGTGTGTAATGTAATGTGTGTACACCCCCCTCCACACACACACACACACCACACACACACACACACACACACACACACACACACACACACACACACACACACACACACACAATCAGACCCACACACGCACGCACGCACATACCACACCACACACACATAACTACGGAGAACATGAAATCTTCCCAAAAACCTTTGCACTCACCGCATTCTGGACCCTCGTCGCTGCCGTCGTCGCAGTCGTATTCGCCATCACATCGCCAACGTTCCTCAAAACATCCGTTTCCGTCAGCACAAAGCGTCTCCATTGGAGGGCAAACTACTGACTCTGAAAATCATACGTTTTATGATATCAGTATTGAAAGTAAAATTATTAAATACTCGGATCAAATATGTAGGTTTTCGCTTCTAGATGACCTCAACTGCTCGCCAGAAACTGAGGATCTTTCTCCATTGAATTTAATTCATTCTTTTCATGAGATATCTTTATAGCAGGGACAAACATGTAAGTCAAGATCTCCGTCAGAGCCGTAGCATAAAAGCATTTATACCTAACGTTGAAATTACTCAAAAGACTGAAAAGTCAAACTGTCTTTTTCTTTGAGTTATTACGGAATTAGTGATAAATTTTCTCCACCTTCTGATCATCGGGAGGTCTTTAGAATTTCGAAATTAGATCCGCGCTACCTGTCTCTCTTATGTCTCAAAAAACATCGAGCATGTCAAATATCACGTCATACAATTGTATCTGTTCATAGGGCATTGTGTAGTCATATATTACGTCAGATATAATCAAACAACACTGTATATTTCGAAAGTAGAAATTCCTACACACTCGAATTCTTTTTATTTTTTGAAGTTTGTAACAATTAAGGTGGGCCATCGTGTTGTCTTGAAAACATACCTGTGCAATTCCTTTCATCGCTGCCGTCAGTGCAGTCAGCTTCGCCATCACACCAAAATTCATTTCCAACACAGTGATTATTATCTGATTCACAGGGCGTGAAGTCCTGGTCACAAGTATCATCAGTAGTGGTTGCACCTGGAGTGAGTGAGTGAGTGTGTGAGTGAGTCAGTGATTCAGTCAGTCAGTCAGTCAGTCACATGGATCATCAGTAGTGGTTGTACCTGGAGTGAGTGAGTGAAAAGTTAACATCATATCAGCAATGTGTCAGCCATAACGTCACGATAATTTGAATATAGATACTTAATATATATATTAGGATCAGCAAATCTGTCAGCGATGGACAGTAGAATTACTTGAGTACCACAGGTATAAGTTAAAACTAGTTGATAGCATTTAATAAAGTAGATTAGTAAACAACACATTGTACAAATGGGCTATAGATCTCCCAATAACTGAAGGTAGATCACCATACTAGGGACCATGGGGACTTACAGTACCTTTGCTACCTGCATGGACCCTAGCTGGATTTTCACCGTCACTTCATTGTTTGGACAATAATTTAAAAAAATATAAATATAGACTTTTGCAATCATATATTGTTTTACATCTTATGATTACCATTTATTTAAAATTTGAACGAAATCGGTGAAGAAATGAATATTTTAGAAAATTCTACCGCTACACTCCCTACATAAAATAGGGGGGGTGACACTCGCGATCGAAAACCGGACAGCCCGAATATTTTAACGTGAGGTTCAATCAAATCTTACGTTTTTCACAAAAAAATGTGATGAGCTTTAATGATATCCTTTAACCTTTCTGTTCATTGTATTAAATTCGTCTAACTGCATTTCTTACTTGACCACTAACCCTCGCATTAGCACTACCCTCTGCTTGGAACAAACGTCAGGCCTCTCTTCGGTAAACATCGACAGTTCCGTAAATCTTGTAGTAAAACGTTATTTAAGCAGTTTCGAGAAAATCGTTATACACGGCCGTAATGTAAACAATAACAAAGACCCCATTTTCAACATCGCCATGTGCTTTTATATTTTGTCTCCAAATCGTACACATAAAACATGGATCTGAACAACCACATTGATGAATGTAGAACTGTAGCATCCTTATTTTAGCAAATTTGATGACGCATAATTCGATGGTCTTCAGACATTGTGCCCATGTAGGGAATCGAACATGGGTCTTCAGCCTGACGAGGGAATGCCTTAACCACTAGGCTACCCCACCGCCCCCACACTAGTGAATGACATGGGAACATTAAATAATGGATGACGTCTTGTTTCCTTGACAAATGGATGGGTGGGAACATCTGATGTCATCACTAATTTTCATTGATTTTCTGATATTACTATCATAACTATTTTATACCAAACGGAATTTCTTTCTGATGATAGAAGACGACTAGAATGGGGATCAGGTGGTTAAAATGGGTGATAATAAACATGGATGGCAAAGAGACAATATAAGGATGAACAACAGATGGGGTGTATTGTTTATTTTACTATACAGTCCGCTGTTACATATGGTTTCAGCTGAACCCAGATATACGGTTCACTCATTAGTCGATGTTAACACGTATACTGCACCTACCGCAATCATCTTCGTCACTCCCATCCGCACAGTCTTCATCTCCATCACACTCGTGTCTGACTGGAATGCACCCACTTCCGCTTGCGCACGCAAACTCATCTGCCAGGCAAGCTGTAGACGGATCTGTTAACAATGACACAAAATACTAAAAACGCATATACACACTCCATTCCGTATCAGCATGAGTGAGTATGGTTTTACACCGCTTTTAGCAATATTCCAGCAATATCACGGCGGGGGACATCAGAAATGAGCTCCACACATTGTACCAATGTGGGAATCGAATCCGGGTCTTCAGCGTGACGAGCCAACGCTTTAACCATTAGACTACCCCACCGCCCCTCAATATCAAAGAATGCACTCCTTGAACACCAACCGACAACCTTTTTTAAACACTCGTTCCTTGACCAATGATAAACCAGAATGCATTGTTAACTGTTAAACAATTGTTAATTTTTGCAGAAAAGTGATGTCATGTTGCTGGTTGCGCACCCGCCTTTTGTCTTGAAAGTTTATTAAATGACCATTTGAATAGTCCTGCATATTAAATGACCATTGAAACTACATACCTCCTGCATACTTTCAACTCATCAAAGATCCCCATCAAGCAACCGTGACCAAGACTATTACATACCTCCTGCATACTATCAACTCATCAAAGATCCCCATCAAGCAACCGTGACCAAGACTATTACATACCTCCTGCATACTATCAACTCATCAAAGATCCCCATCAAGCAACCGTGACCAAGATTATTACATACCTCCTGCATACTATCAACTCATCAAAGATCCCCATCAGCCATAATCCCATTGTTAATACAAGCAAACACAGCAAACACTCTCTCACACTTGGTAATGCCTCCCGAACTTCATTCTTGCTGGTCATCACTTGATATCGTCATTCTACGATGTATCATTGGTAGTCAAATGGTTATGTGGGCTTACTATAAACCTACAATTTACTGATTCGGCAATCATAATTACATTCAATGTGTACATTCATCAAACCTTGCCATTCGTGTCCCACAGTAATGAACGGGTAACTATATTCACAACTGTTCTGCTTTCGACGTGACTCACTGACAATGCTGGACAACACAAATTTAGGCGGGTCAACCTTCTGTTCATGGTCCAGGGAACTTGGGTTAATTGACTCAAGACTTACAAGTCTTTGTTTGGTTTTCTAGTTCACCATTCATTCCAGCTATTCGTCAAATTTAGCTGAAGCCCGGCGCTATAATCCTTTAAGCAATAGGGTGTTAACTTACAGTCTGTTTCGGCCTAAGAAAGTACACACTGTAGCTTCATCTCGATATGTCATATTTCACCAATTCAACATTTTTGGTCCATTTTATCTTCATGATAAAAGTCATAAATACATATTTCGTACATTATCAGAAAACGAGAAAATAATAACTGAAGACGTAAATAAACATGCATAAATATTTTCTGAACTGAACTTGGTCTTGATGGTGGTTGTGTGTGTTCCTGGAACTGCTGAGAACATCACTGACGGATTTGGCCGTTTGCAGGACAACCTGTCTTACAACATTTCAAATAAACTCGGTCCCTTTTTGTGCTCTTAACCCTAAACTTCGGACCTAGATAGATTAAGTGTCTACCTACCTCCCCTTGAATTTGGAATGTTAACTTGAGCGTTTGCCATCTTGCAATGAGCGAACCATGTCTACATTCTTATATACAGGCACAACTTCAGAAATAATCATTGGAAGAAGCTTCACTCAATTCAGCTAATATTATTCGATTTAACACTAAAATCAGTTACTAGAAATCGAGTTCACTCAAAACAAATTGGAGCCTTGTAATCAATGAGTTCGAACTCAGTCTGCAAAAACGCTCATGTCCCCCAAATGCCTATGGGTGACAACTAATCACTGAAAACAGACGGCAAACTAGCGGACCGTTACTCTTAATTCGTTATCATCACATCAGCTGTCCGGCAAAGTGGGGTATGACCGCTCTGCATTTGCGAGTGACATAGGACTCACACGCGATGCACACGGGTTGACCGCCCGTGTCACATGCGCGTTCTCAACGCGTGTAATGGGAATGAACTTTTAGGCAGTAGTGTAGTAAACTTTCGGTGACTGATAATAAAAACAAATCTCATTCGTTCATTTGCTCTGTAAAACTGACTAACACATGAAAATATATTTGTCGTTTCCACTAATCCTTTCGTTTCCAAGGAAAATATGGAAAGAAAATACATTATGGTGGATTTTGCCCATGACGATATGACGATTTACTCAAGGACGAGTTAGAAAACACGGTAATGACATAAACGTTTTGTGGCATTTGTTTTGATAGAATAGTATTGGCATAAGATGTTGTAATGCGTCTAACATGTATGAAGCTATTCATACAAAACATGAAGTGAATGTATCACTTCCAGAACAAATAGAACACCATTTCATGTTCACATGTCTCCTATACGTCGAGCAATATAAGTCAGGTTAACAGGGCACTAGTCTACATGTCTTTGTGTTACATAACATAGACTCAAGTTAATAAATCTGATATTTAATGACTATTTTCCATAGATACGAACTCTTATACCAAATACGAGAATATTTAATCGATCTTCAACTGGATTATAGGTACTGACACTTCCTTTTACATCGAACCTGCTTAGTTATCTAAGTCTATGAACTATTTGACAGTTGTGACAGTTATACTACCGAACCATTTAAATACACGTTATATTACTGTGCCAGATTGACACACCTGTGAAACACATGCAAATGCAGTTGAAAGTTCGTTTATTTTAACACCCCTTTAAATGGTAACCCCCCATTACCCCTACATGCCACTACCCCTACAGCTTATAACAACATAGTTTACGGTCTGTTGCACTGTTAATCCACTGCCTGTTACCTATGCCACACAATGTACTAATCCACTTAAGAGACATAACAACACACAACTATAAGGTTGAGAGAATGATTTTAATGAAGAGTGATCATCATTTGTCATCATCAAGATTTTAATAAGAATTAACAATAAGTCGTCATCATGATTCTTTGATGGACATTAACAATTAATTGTTAACATTCAATGTTAACATAGTCATTTGTGTCAAGTGTTTCAGTCTATGAACATTCAGTGTTTCAATCTATCCTAGCTTAAGCAGATAGCTGACGGCGTCCAAGAACTGAAGAAGTGATTTCTGTCCAAGCTCAAGCTGCTCCTTGAGTCTACACAGGCGACTGTCAATCTCCCTGAAGACTCGCTTTCTGCTTCTTGTCGCAGCACCTAAGTCTATTTGTGAAATCTTCACCCTCTCAGCATGTTCAATTCTCCTAATGACTTCTACAAATCTGTATATGTTCGGATGCCTGTGTGGAATTTCACGGTTCAGTCGGTTGTGAAAACCTTCTAGATTGTTGTTTGTCCTCGGCCCATCATCGCCGTCGCAAACAGGAGGAATGGTCGACCATCTGCTATCTGCGTCCAGGGATCTTGAAGGTCGACTTCTGATCTCGTCTGTGGTAAAACAGGAATCGTCTTCTGGCGGTGGCGGTACAGGGCGCTGCACATGGATGGAAAGGATGGCATCGTGCGTGTCTCATCATTGGTCAGGTTGGTGAGCTCGTCGTTGTAGATGGTGCGCATCTGTGTTGACTCCTCCCTGGCTCTCTTCCTCAGGTTGCTGACAAACCGGACCTTCTGACTATCCTCTGGTGGGTGATTATGTTCTGTCGTATTCCTTACAACATTGCCAACAGTTGTGACTCTTCCTCTGCATGTTGACTGAACACACTTCCAGTGTCTCTCGACATTCTTAGTGTGAGGATAACCTACAAATAGGACTTGAGGGCCACCTCTCCGTGACATAACAAACTCAACATTATGCAGACCAGCCATGTTGATGCCATGTTAGTTTGTTGTCAACAGCTATATACTATTCCGAACTATCTCAATTTACTTTCTCGTCTCACTTTCTCATTTCCCTCCACTTCTCAATAATACTGTGTATCTTTTATCATGGCACTAAAACAACTTAATTTCAACATTTAACAACCTACACAATATCCAATTTGTAAAATTGTTCTACTCACTAGAGGTTTATCTTTCATCATGAAACTAAAACAACTTTAGGCTAATCCCAAATTTCCATGACACAAAACACTAAAGAACAGTTTAATCCCTCCCTTGATCTCATCTGTAGACTCTATGCACTAATCTCTCTCTTTGGGTCAGTTCATTATGCCAGACAGGTAAATGCCGTGTGTTGTTTTAACTAATTGTAGGGGTACTGGGCTGTAGGGGTAGTGGCATGTAGGGGTTATGGGGTACAACCTTCACGTGTGTAAATCTGACAGCCAGATGATACGTAGAATTCAAACGTTGTTCATATGGCCGCCGGATGAAACTTTCATTTGCTAAAGTAAGTAAATTGGGGAAATACTGTTCCTTCGTGTGGTGTGCCATGTTGTTTCGTCACGGCATACTGAAGGAAAAAATATAAGATCGCCTCTATTCTCTGACATATATATATACACAATGAGGACACTTTTTTGGAAGTATGCCCAGATGTTGCCAGACAGTTGCGAGAGCACATCGGGGACATACTACATGCTGCCTTTCTTTATTTAATCTGAAAACAATGAATCATGTCTGTTTGACGTGATTAAAATCTGGACTTTTATGCGATCCCTTATTTTTTTCACTCTCACAATATCTTATTGCAGCATTATGACAAATCTCGGATGTAATTTGTTCAAAATTTGAAAATGTGTTTCTATAATGTAGGGTTTCTATCACTTAAGACATGTTCGGGGTAAATTAGGTCAATATGTTCAGAAGCGAGTAGAACGGGCATCAGGTTAACATCAGTTGATACTTCAGAAAGAGTGAAGGATTTAATGACATAATGACACATACTGCTTTGACAATCAGCCTCATCTCGGCCATTTACACAGTCATTTTCCCCATCACAGCGCCACGTGGGCGGGATACACGCGCCAGTGCCACAGGAAAAGCTAGAGCTGGGACATGCCGACGGTTCTGTGGACAAAATATACAATAGTGACGGTTGTAGATACGAACATGCTCGTGAAAATATCTTCCAGTTATAATGCACGTACTTGTAATTGTTAAACATGTCCCACTGCACCATGTTAAAGGGCATGTTAAACGAAATATCTAAATTACAGTTGTAATTATTAAACATGTCCCAATGCACCATGTTAAAGGGCATGTTAAACGAAATATCTAAATTACAGTTGTAATTATTAAACATGTCCCTATGCACCATTTAAACCGTCGTGAATAACAATAATTGCAACTATATACCCTGTTAAGAAATATATATAACAATGGTTTTTAATAATAGTTGTAATTACCGTTACCAAACATGTCCGCAAACAACATGTTAAACACGCGTCCAAATAAACATTGGAATTATATATACATGTGTATGCCATACATTTATATATTTATCTAAACATATACACACAAAACAGGTTTCATACTTTTGAAAGATATTTACATACATACACATACTCTCTCTCTCACACACACACACACACATACTCTTTCTCTCTAACACACACACAAACAACATATATGCGCTTGAAAATTCCAGTTGTAATGCACATAAATGTAATTATTAAACATGTCCCAAACATTGCTTGAATGGCAATCGTTCACTTGTTTTCTGAATACAGCAGCTGAACGATTGCCATTCAAGCCGGCAATTTATGCCTGAACTCTTATTTCAGCATCTACTCACGTGCATAAGCCAGGACAACTGACAGAAGATAAAGCTTTAGCCATCTCACTCATTCACTCTTATTTCAGCAACTACTCACGTGCATAAGCCAGGACAACTGACAGAAGATAAAGCTTTAGCCATCTCACTCATTCACTCTTATTTCAGCAACTACTCACGTGCATAAGCCAGGACAACTGACAGAAGATAAAGCTTTTTAGCCATCTCACTCATTCACTCTTATTTCAGCAACTACTCACGTGCATAAGCCAGGACAACTGACAGAAGATAAAGCTTTAGCCATCTCACTCATTCACTCTTATTTCAGCATCTACTCACGTGCATAAGCCAGGACAACTGACAGAAGATAAAGCTTTTTAGCCATCTCACTCATTCACTCTTATTTCAGCATCTACTCACGTGCATAAGCCAGGACAACTGACAGAAGATAAAGCTTTAGCCATCTCACTCATTCACTCTTATTTCAGCAACTACTCACGTGCATAAGCCAGGACAACTGACAGAAGATAAAGCTTTAGCCATCTCACTCATTCACTCTTATTTCAGCATCTACTCACGTGCATAAGCCAGGACAACTGACAGAAGATAAAGCTTTAGCCATCTCACTCATTCACTCTTATTTCAGCATCTACTCACGTGCATAAGCCAGGACAACTGACAGAAGATAAAGCTTTAGCCATCTCACTCATTCACTCTTATTTCAGCATCTACTCACGTGCATAAGCCAGGACAACTGACAGAAGATAAAGCTTTAGCCATCTCACTCATTCACTCTTATTTCAGCAACTACTCACGTGCATAAGCCAGGACAACTGACAGAAGATAAAGCTTTAGCCATCTCACTCATTCACTCTTATTTCAGCATCTACTCACGTGCATAAGCCAGGACAACTGACAGAAGATAAAGCTTTAGCCATCTCACTCATTCACTCTTATTTCAGCAACTACTCACGTGCATAAGCCAGGACAACTGACAGAAACCAAAGCTTTAACAATGCAGCGCTGCGGGAAACCATTGTGATCACCAGTATGGGGCGAGGAACCCTTGTGGTACAACACTTTAGTGTAATTAGATGAAAGGGCAGTTATGTTGACCTTGAGTATGACTAAACAGCAGGCGCATCACGTCCGGTGTAAATGTCACAAATTCCTATTGCGAAAGTACGACCGTCAATCCCAGTCAAATATCATACAGAAATTAATTCATTATAATATGATGATATGAAGTAATTGTAGCGAAAGACATTTAGGCAGTATACTCAGTCACAGTAAAACTGTGTAAAGTTTCAGGCATGAGTGGTTTAAACATATTTATTCATGTGATCATGATGGGATTGGCAAACAAGCATAAAACATGCTTATATCAATGTCGCTCCCTAACAATGATACAGTATTATAATAATAATGATAGAGAGTGACGTACACATGAACTGGGTGCAAAACATAATGTGAATCTACAAGGACAATACTGACAATATAATGTGTGACAATTTGCAAAGAATCGTTGAAGGCAAATAAACTAGCAGCTGTTGTAATCTCAAGATATTAGCAAGGCACAGCATGTACAATAAAACTAAGTTAGGTAAATGTCGAGAATCTCTGGGAAGATATGATAAAGTTAGGTACAGAATTTAATAGTTCCAGACTTACCTGTTCTGATGAGCCCGAATGACCAAATAAGATTGATGACAAATAAATCCTCTTTTAAAGAAGTATGCATTAGAGCTTATGTCGTTAAATATGGGACAGATGAGGAAGAAATGAAGCGCATCTTCGGTGTGATGCCCGCAGTTACATTCAGGACTATATATATATCTGGTAAACTTATCTCCAGTTAGATCGCTACACCCAAGCCGAAGTCGGGAGTGGACTATCTGGCAAAATCTTGAACCATTGAAAAGAAGATTAAATTAGATTTCACTGGTGTTGTGTTCTTTTAGTATATTTTTGAATTCCCCAAGACTATTGGCGTTAACGATATCTGGAGTGAGAGAGTTCCAGATGTTAACCGTGTCTGGGATAAATGATTTAGAGTACACACTAGAATTGCATTTAATATTTTGTAGGTCAGAATTATTACTCAAATTATATCCACTTACAGATGATACATTTCCTGGAACTAAACTAGACAAATAATCTGGATCTAATTTGTTAGCCATTTTGTAAAATATGTATAATTTTTGGGCCGTGTCTTCTATCATCAGGCACGAGTGAGTGAAATAGTTAAGTTTAACGCCACTTTCAGCAATATTCCCGCTATATCAAAGCGGGAGTCACCTGAAATGAGGCTCCACAGCCTGTACCCATGTGGGCAATCGAACCCGGGTGTTCAGCGTGACGAGAGAACGCTTTAACCACTAGGCTACTTTCAGGCATGTATATTATTTCAAGCAATTACTTAGATATGTTTTGCATTCAATACAAACCTTGGTCCCTCATGCATTGTAACATAGATGATGACATCAGACAAGGTGTCCGATTTGGTTACCTTTTTCTCCATAATGTCAGTCATGGTAGAAATGCTCTAGTTATTTATCGTTTTCGTATATATGTGTTTCCGAGTCGCCTCTTACGACAAGCATGGGTTGCTGAAGACCAATTTTATTCCGGATCTTCACGGTCCCCGGATGTAAGACATGTCAAGCGCCCAGGGATTGAGAACTGTCTGGTTCAGCAACGAGTCCAAGGCTCGCACAAGGCAACCAAGCAGCCCATCCCTTATAGGACGAACGTCGATCAAGTTATGAATCAAACTAAGGTCATTTAATAACACGACATTGCCAAACCTGATCGATATAGACCAGAAAGCATACCTAATGGACGACTGGTATTAATGCACTTCATTAATGCATACGAAGTACGTTTATTGGGGGTAATAGCCAAGCTGCTAAGCACGAGTACGTTCTGTATCGTGAGCATGGGCGTTAGGTGGTAGATATACATAGACCTATATAATTTGAAAATTAGCAAGTCGTGACACAAACACTGGTGGGATCGAGTGTACCCAATTTCTATCTCAGTATGCCTTTCCCATTGGTGTTAGGACAAGCGTAGGCGGTAGTACAATCATATATTTATTATGATGTACTGAAAATGTCATCTTACAATCGTATAGGGATTGAAGTAAGATATTGTATTCTCTGTGCAAATATACTGAACAGCCAAAGAAACGCAAGTCTGACTTTTTATCAAGTTTTTTAAATAGAAGACAACCAAAATTATGTCTAATCATTTATTGTATAGAAAACTCACAGTCCGTCAAATGGACATATCCTGAACGCAAACAGTGACAGTCTCTTTATTAGCGCGTATAGCCACATTGAGCTTGCACACAGGCCGTGCAACGTCGCCTCATTGAGATCACTAGAGTCTGAAAGAATGCCTGAGGCAAGTGGTTCCACTCAAACACCAATCTCTGTTCCAACCTACCTGCAGTAATCCTACGTCCAATTTCGTCCCAGAATGTTCAATGGGAAACGAGGAAAGAGACGGCCATTGAAGAACGTTAATGTTGTTCTGAGCCAGATAATTCATCGACACCCTTGCTGTGTGAGGGCTGTAAACGTCGCTGGCGTTCTTGATTCCAGTGGATTCCAGCAGCCCGAAGACGACGTCTAATCGTATCGCTGGGCACCACTCCCCTTGACATTTTGATACAGATGGGACGTAACTCTAAACCAACACAGTCACAGGGATGAAGCGATGCCTAGCGCTTCGTTATCTAGCGTGAGTTCACAGCTGGAATATCCCAAATCTTTTTTTAGCCACGTGAGGTTCTTGGATTGTTATATCAACCTCTCGCGACGTTTCGAGGTTGACATCGCCAAGTGGGCCAATCAGCAGGGCGAAAATCTACCCGTCATATAATAATATAGCTAATCTTTATTATTACTTATATTTATATTGGATATCATTTTTATGCTACTGGTCATGTGTGTGCCATCTGGTCTAATATTAGTCGTCCGACTGTAGATATACATTGTATTGTAAACAAACAAGAAAGATATACAGATTTCACATCATATTACTAGCTCCGTTTCAAATGAGTAGGCTTTAGGATAGCAGCTCACCCAAAATCTACTTTACATCTTCTGTGAATTACAATGTCTTATTGTCCTTCCATCACGTCCTGTCCAGAACCTTCACTCTCTGCATCAGATATCATGTCTTCATCATCTTCAATCAACTCTTCCTACTCATCTAGTGCTCCATATTAATTTCTTCAGTTTGGCTTCGTTTATACCTCTTTGTACAGCTGTCGTTTCTCATCCAAAAAGTCTTTTTTCAGCTCACGCATACGTGAATACACTTGTCCTATAAACCTTGTTCTTCGAGATCAGCTATCTTGTATTTCCTCTTTTTCATGACGTCTGCAACATAGCTTAACGATTCATCATCATTATCCATTTCAGGACATTGTTTATCATGTAAATGTCTTTGTAAGTTGTGGTTATTGCTAAACACGTGACCACAATAGTCACAGTCCACCAGAGGATGTGGTATCTTCACAACAGAGAAGTTGTCTTCCTCCGACTTCCTTTAGAGTCCCACTGAAGACTTTATGGGACACCAGTTTCTTCTGTGTTTTTGCAAAATCATGCATGATTAAAACATGAGTCCACAGTCATCACAAGATGGCTTTGTTGGGAGGTTTTCTTCACACGTCTGCTCACTCTGAAAGACTAACTTAGACTGAATTGTCCTAGCTTGAAGGTCTCCTTTTAAGCTTAATACATTGGGACAAAGTCGCAAATGGGGAGGTGGTTGGGGTTTTAGATCAACCGACAAGTAGCCGTAAGGTTTCTGGGTAGTCCTTTGAAACTTGTCCATGAAATATTTATGATTTTCTGGATACATCTGTCTCATCTGATGGGTTGTTTATCGATGAGGTTGTTAAACAGAAGCAGACAATGACAGTGCCTTCTTTGAGTAGGGTCTTTGCTGTAATACAAATTTTGGTACAAGGCTATCACTGACATATTGCGATGATGACTTGCTTCGTTGAAAAGATCTGTAATGTGTGGATCTCTGATAGCTGTCGAAAACTATGGTAATGTCGTCTGTCAGACAGTGAGAAAAACCGTTTCCCTGTAAAGTTTTTATGATTGTTTCTGCTCCACATAGTGTTCGAAAAGCATCCAAGTGTTGGTTTTCTAATATGTTTACTTGATCTCAAAGTTATCGCAGTAGTCAAATATGGGTAACTAAACGAGCTGTGACAAGATAGTCAATATGTTTGTACCATTTTCCATCTCCCCTGAAAATCAAGTCCTAGGTGTTTATGATAATTTACATCAGGTATAAGAACATCATTCATTCGAAGAGGTAATTTAGGACTAGAGTTAAGTTTAGTCGAAAATAGCATGGCTTCCGTTTTGGTAGGACTAAATTTAACTTGCCATTTACCAGCCTAGTCACATATACGTTCTAGGTGACTATTCAGTATAGCGGTTGTCTATTCAGGGTGTTCAGTAATTAGATATAAGGATGAATCATCAGCAAACAGTTTAATATTACTGGTTATCCCATGCGTCAGATCATTGATATAAACAAGGAATAACAGAGGTCCTAATGTGTGAGTGAGTAAGTTAATATTTAAAGGCCCATCGGTAATGTTTCGGCCATATCATGACGAGAACATATTTGACATTGAGATGGAATATGTGTATACTATAAAAACCTGTCGTCAAAGGACAGTAAAACACCTAGAATACCACAATTAGAATTAAAACTAGCATGTAAAGTTAAAACTAATAGCACTATTTGGACAATACATGATATAAAAACAGTCTATAGATCGCTAACGACTGAAGGTAGATCACCATACTAGGGCCCATGGGACTTACAGTACCTTTGCTACCTGCATGGATCCTAGATGGATTTACACCATCTCCTCAGCTGCTGGCGATTGTAGGAAAATTTAGCTGAAATGTAAAATAACAAACATATTACGTTTAAAACATCTGGTAAGTTTGGAAGTTCTGGACCTTACGTACCCTCTCAGGAGGACAATAATTTTACAGTACTTTACAGAGGTCCTAAAACCCAGCCCTGATAAACTCCG